AAAAAAAAAAAAAAAAGAAACATAAAAAAAGTTTTAATTTATCAACAAAAGCTGCGTAAAATAAATACATGTACACTGCTTAAAAAGCAGATGGGGCGGGGCCAAAAGTAGCATGGCGATTAAGGGTACTGGACTCCCACATAGTCATCTGTGGTTTGAGTCCTGGACCTGGCGGCTTGCATTCTCATTTTACCTCTCTCTCTCTTGCTGTCTCTCTCTGGTCAAATTAATTTAAATTAAAAAATAAAGTTAAATGAAATAATCCTTTAAAAGAAAAAATCAGAGGGCTGGCTCCATGGTGTAGTGATAATATTCTACTCAAGAGAAGCCAGATCCCATATAGTACCCGGGATTCAAATCTTTGGCCTAGTCAGGCTGAAACACACCAGTCATGCACACAAGTGCCCAAGATCCAACAGGCTAAAGGACTGGAGGAAGCAGATCCTGGCATGACCAGACCTGTGGAAGGTGGTCCTCCCTTGCACACATGTGCTTTGTACACGTGCGTGTGTTCTATCATGAATAAAGAAATAAATCATATATAATAGGATCGTTTTATTGTTTGTTTTTTGTTTTTGTTTTTGTTTTAGGTTTTTGCCGTGTGTGTGCTCACAAAGAGAGACAGGGAGAGGAAAAGTAAAAAATCACCCCTTGGGGGGATGACCACGCCACAATCCCGTCTTCATTCTCCTCTTGGGATTTTGGGCACACACGCTCACCCAGTGTGATATTTCAAGCCACTGGGTCTGGGATTTGAACCATGTGGGAGTCCACCATGCCACCTGCTGGCCCAAAGGAGGATCATTTTCTAAAGTAGTCGTTTTATTTTCATTGCTCTTCCCAATCCTTCAAAAGAATTGTTAAATTTCTCTGAAAATGATAGTAGTTTGCTTTTCCCTTAAAGTCGTCCTAGTATTGTCAGACACCTTCCCTCCGGAGATGTCTGAACTAGACATGTTCTAGGACTTCTTCATGGCTGTCAGCCTAGGATTTCCCTTCCCTTCTTGGCTGTGCACTTATCTCATGTTTCTCGAACCCAGGGTCTTCTTTATTTATTGGTGTACTCCTTTGTTTTCTCATTGCTTCCTAAAAAACGTGTATAGAAGGCAGATGTTTTAAGACATTCCATGTTTGCCAGTGTCGTTATTGCCACTGCACATTTGACGATTTGACTTAGAAATAATGTTCCCTCAGAAATGTGAAGACATTGCTCCATTGTCATACAGCATTTGATGTTGCTGTTGATCAAAAGCCAATGCCATTCTGGTTTTTTTGTTTGTTTTGTTTTGTTGTTGTTTTTGTTTTTTTGTCAAAGCATGCATGTACTCACCAGAGAGAGACAGAAAGAGGGGAAGTGAGAAATCACCCCACAGGGGGAATGGCTACACCGTAGTCCCTTCTTCTCCGTTCTCCTCTTGAGATTTTGGGCATGAACATGCATGTCCCTCAGCATGATTTTCAGGCTGCCAGGTTCTAGACTTGAACCGCATTCGGCCATATGGGAGTCCAACCTGCCTCTATATTCTGATTTTTGATCCTTATGTATGATCTCTTTTTTCCTTCCTGGAAACTTTTAGGATCTTCTCTTTCTTCTTGATGGGTTTTTGCAATTTATTATGCTATGCTTTATGTAAGGCTTTTTTTTTTCTTTTAATTCCCTGGTATGGACACCAGATGTTTTTCCGATGGGAAAATGTTATTGTATTATTGTTTTGCCATTTATTTCCCATCACATACTACCCCTGCCCTGTCTGTAGAGAATGACTCCTGTGGACTGTATCACCCAGTCTGCCTTTCAAGCTAGTTCTGGCAGTTGTGAGATCAGGTCACAGGAAGGAAGAGGTCAGAGTATTTCTTCCTGCTCTATCCCTGTTTTAGAGCCTAAGTGCTCAGGTACCTGCTGTTTCCCATCGGGAGGCCCTTCCTTGACTCCAGGTCACACCGGACTCCATCTACACTGCCTCCTCCCTCTGCCCTTTCAGTCCTGGGAGGGAATGACACAGCTTCTGCTTGTGACTAGTTGCAGACACTCTATTACCTTGTTTGTTTCTTGATCTGTTCCTCCAGCCACCCACCCACCCAAGGACATCTTCTCTCTCCTGAGAGAGACAGTGAGAGGGAGAAGGAGGAAGCACTCCCTAGTGAGGCTTGGTCACACTGCAGTCCTCTCTCCTCTGTTTCTCCATTCTGTCAGGATTTGGAGCACGCACATGCATGCACCCAGTGTGTTTTTCAAGCCGTGGTGCAGGGATCCGAACTACAGTTGGCCATGTGAGATCTGGCTTCCTTAACCACTAGGCCACAGAGCTTGCCTACATTTTTTTTCCCCTGTACATTTTACTTCTCACACCTCTGTAAATAGTCCTTTCATAAAGCTGTCTTTATATGAACCATGTGGACTGAATGAAGTTTGTGGCTGGTACTCTGAATGATGTAATCTGTTTCCTGTTCCCTGACATCCCTCTATTCCTCTCCTGCGCCCCCTCTATTTTCCAAGAAATACTAGGCTTCCTGGATAAATCTCTAATCTTGTTCTTTATTTTCCATCTCTATGTCATCTCTCTAATCTACCATCTGGGAAATTTCCTTGTCTTCATCTTCCAAACCCTCTGTAAATTTCTTATTTCAGCAATCACAGGTTTGTTTTTTTTTTTCCAAGAGCTCCCTTTATTCACCAATTAGTCATTTTTTCCCCATTTTTAAAATTGTGGTAAAATACACATAACATCAAATGTATTATCTTAACCATTTTTAAGTATATACTTCGGTGGTATTGAATACTTGAATATTTTCGTGCAAGGATCATCATCTATCTTCCGCATTCTTCACATCTTGCAAATTAAACTCTCTACCCATTAATAATAACTTCCCATTCAATTTCCTCCTCCTCCCCACCCTTGGCAACCACCATTCTATTTTCCTTTCCCATGATTTGACTACTCTAAGACAAATGAGTGGAATCATAGAGTATTTTCTGACTGATTGTCATAGGATTCCATTGTTGTTTATTCATGTTTCATAGAACTTATTTATCTCCCTGCATCATTTCTGTTTCCTCCATAGTCCTTTGTTTTGGTATCTACTTCACTGACAGATACGGTTCTCAAATGTCAAATGACTTTCATATAATAGTTGGTTATTGGCTCTGTGTGGTCAACTGAGACTTATCCTCTAGTGGGTCTCACTTTGGAGTCATCAAGCAGGGATCCATCTGCTTCACTTCGCTGTAGAACTCCAACATATGATTTCTTATGCTGTTGCTATTTTTCTGGAAGAGAATCTGACAGTTGCTTGACTAGCATTCTTGGAGTCAAGTGCAGGAATTAGGCTGAGCACCTCAAGTTCAGAGTGGACTTTCATTGAAAGGGAATATTTTTCTGAAAGAAATTCCCTGAAGTGAAATCCAAGGGTATACATTTTAAAACTTGATAGATTCCAATGCAGTTGAAGC